TTGGCCTCCGGCCCCCTATCCGCTCGTCTCCTGGCCCAAACCACCTTACGTACCCCGAAAAACATATATTTGGGCCTGTGGTATAATTGTTCTTTTTACTGTAGCCTTATGCTCCACCCCCCCTGGAACCTCCTGCGGAGGGGGTCGATGACGCTTGCGGAGAGCCTTCCAAGATGCTGGGGAAGGGTGTGGGAGGCCGCGAAAGCCCTAGGTCGATTCCTTCCTTCCTTCCTTCCTTCCAGGGCCTCCAGGGCCTCCAAACCTTGCGGGCCTGCTGCAATCGCCTCAAAAAGTGGTTTTAGCTCAAGACCCTCCACAGGGGCCTCCAGGGCCAGGGGCCTCGGGGCCGTTGCAGGGGCCTTCAAGACCCTCGCTCAAGGCCGGAGTTATCACAGGGGTCCATGAGCCAATACCCTCCAGCCTGCAATGGCCGAAAAAGCCACAGCTTCACCAAGAATTCATGCCCTTGGAGATGTGCGAGGGAAACTGGTCGGCCGCAGAAGCAGCCAAGCCCTCAATTGAAATCGCATCGGGCTGGGTTCAGCACATTCCCGGAGGCAGAACTGCAGCCCAAGCCCGCTGGCCCTCAGCTAAGCTCAACCTAGTAGAGGCGCCCGGCAAAGACCCACGCCTCGTTCTAGACAGCGCTGTTTGTCAGGTCAATGCCAATTGCAGCCTGCTTGAAGCCGTTCAGTTGCCCACAGTGTCTGATGTCTCCTTCTCCTTTCAGCCCTCAGACCCTCACAGCGTGTGGATGGGAGCCAGCCTGGACTTCAAAGCAGCCCACAAGCAAGTCAAAGTCAGGGAGCAGGGCCAAGGCATGCTCCTCTTCAAGTTCGCAGGTAAGCTCGACGGCTACACGTGTGCCATTTCGGAGCCTGCTTCTCAGCCTACTGGTGGCAGCGTCTTGGAGCCTTACTGCTGCGCATCGCACACCAGCTGCTCGCTCAACAGCCTCACAAAGCCTTCTCCTAGCAGCCCTCCTAAGAAGCTAGTGGTACTCTTTGTCTGCCTCAAAATGGTCTGGTGTGGATGAAAGTTCAACTTCCGCTCTGAAACAGTGAGCCTGGAGCCGGACAAGCTGGCCAAACTAGCAGACCAAATCCAAGCCCTCCAATCCTGCAAGAAAGCAGACAAGAAAGCCCTACAGTCTTGCCTGGGCCTCCTGAACTGGGCGACCTCTATCAGCCACCATCTTAGATCGTACACAGTGCCTCTGTATTCAGACCTCAACAGCCCGCCTGGCACGCTCTACGACATCCCCGCTCGCATGTGGCAACGCTTCCTTTTCAGCCTTGACAACAGAGCCGTGGTCACCAGAACTGTGCCTGGTCTCCACATCTCAGCCTCCGCCTGCGTCATAGAAGTAGGCAGCCTCAGGGTGCGGAGAAAGTCAGATGTGCCCCTTCTTCCCAACTCTGACAGACCTACATGGGTAGCAGATCCCACAGCCTACGAAATCACCCTGACCAAAGACAGTAAAGCGTCACTAGCCTGGCTTGCCTGGCTCCTTTCCTGTGTGCAGTCCACTCCTACTAAGCCGTTGTCAGACCCACACCTCCTGCGTTGCACGTCAGCAGCCGACGCTATGGCAGAAGGAGACACAGTCGGGATAGGGGGCTGGCTGTGCAACAAGGACGGACTGCACTGGTTCTCAGAGATCTGGTCCATGAAATACATAGCCTGCTTTGAGACCCTCGCGCAGCTAGCCCTGCTCCAGATGGCGCGCAACGGCTTGGGACACAAGTGCCTGTCTTTAGCCATGCCTGCAGGCTCAGACAACACTCCCAAGGAAGCAGGTGTAAACAAGCTCTTCTCTACAGCCTGGCCTATTAGCCTTTTCCTCCGCCTTGTGGCATCCTTGTCGCACGCCCATTCCGTAGCCCTGCTTGTTTCCCATGTCTCCGGGAAAAAGAACGTTTGTGCGGATGACGGATGAGCTCAGCAGAGACAAGCTCGATAGATTTCGCTCCAGGCCACTAGCCCGCTTCAGCTTCTCGCTGCGTCAGCTTTGCCAGCCTGAAGGCATCACTCTGCATCCCCCACATGCTAGGTCCGCTAGGTGGCGGGAAAATTTTGTAGACTCAGCGACATGAACAGCTTCCTGAAGCGAATGCAAAACAGTCCGTGTGTCGCAGTTTCTGTTGCAGCCCACTTGCGCTAGCCTTGCAGCCCACAAGGTAGCACAGAGCTATAAAACACACCTGGACTCAGGCTGCTCTCGAGCTGCCGCGACCACAGAGTGCTGGCACGCAGTGGTCCTCAGCCCGCCTGGCAGGTCCTCTGTTTTAGCCGCTTAGGCAGCCCTCTTTCTTGTAGCCCTCCACGGCCGCAGCCTCAGCTTTAGTTCCCGCGCAAGCAACCCTCACGCGGAAAGGGGTTCAGGGGCAAGGCCGCAGCCTCCCGCAGGGACAGGGTTGCTCTGAGTCACTAAAGAGGGGGTGGAACGAAAGGAAACACGGGCTTGAGCCCTCAGCCTTTCAAGCCCTCCTTTGCTACACACTCAGAGCAACCCAGAAAAAAGGTGCGAACCCCTGTTGCTGTTTTTAGTGGCTAGCTTTGAACCTAG